TGCGGGGTTGGGCGCTGGTCGTGCGCTCCCCTCTTGCGCGACGGTTATCTGTCTCCTAGCTTGAAATGTTGAGTGGGCTGATTGCAGGACGCCGGGAACGTTCTGCCACCACTCCTCCCCATGGGCGGCGACTTCTCGGCAGAGGAGGCCACATTGCAGTCGCGCTCCTCACACTAAGGGGCGTCGATAGCGCCAGTAACAGCGACGTCGCATCCGTTGTCATTGCACGGGTGAGTTGCAATAAATAAAGTTTTTTTCTCAGATTTGTTTTAAATTGGAAATTGAACTAATAATTTTTGCTACTCAACATGGCAGGCCAAGCAGGCGGTGCAGGAGCTATAGGCTCAACTGCATGCAGCGAAGGAGACCCTGCTCAGGGTACAGGAGGCTGTGGAGTAGAGTCAGGAGGTGGTGGTGCCCGTGAAGAAGAGTGTGGAGTAAGTTAAATATGCTCTTAGAGGCATATGCCCCTACGCACTGTGCTATTGGCATCCCATCTCCTCTAGTGCATACATCTCAATACAAATTCAATGGCGCAGTATGCAGGGGCATATGCCCTTAAAGGCAAAAAAAAAACTGCCTTGAGAAGAGAGTGCTGAACTTTTAAGTTGAGTGTTGTTTGGTCTGTTAATGTTCAGTTGGGTGCTTTGAACTTGTGCAACTTAGATGCTACCTGGTTTGTTCAAGTTATGTTGGGTGCTTTGGACTTATGCTATTGGGTGGTGCCTGAGTTATAAACGTGGTGCTAAACAAATTCCCTAATTGTTAGAGCATCTCCAAGAGTATCCTATTATTTCATCAAAAAACATGTAGTTTTTCAACTCATAAAAAGATACTGAGAGGAAAAAAAACAAGGCCATCTCCAAAAATTTTCAATAATCTACTCCTAAAATATAGAATATAATTTATATCAGGAATCCTATATTATTCCTAAATTATCATAATCACTTTTATATATTCCTTCTCTCTCGTACATTTGCATCGGAAACCCTTTCCTACTCCTTATTCTTACCCACACCCTTCCACCTTTAGATTGACCGTGATAGAAAGTCATATCCAGCGACCGTGACTATATGCAAAAGTTACGCGAGACGGGGAGGACTGACTGATAGAAAAAAGTATATCTGCGCTACCGTGACTACGCCGCCAAAGTTATGTGCGATTGGGGAGGATTTCCCAAGTGGGTAAATTTTAGAGCATGGATTAGGAGTTGCTGATCGCGACTCACGCACAAAGTTACGCGTGACGGGGAGGATTTTCCAAGTGGGTAAATTTTAGGAGCATGGATTATGAGTTGTTGGAGAAGGTTTTTCTCATCTTGCTAAAAACCAAGGATTAGGAAGAGAAATATGGTATTCTTGTAGATGCTCTTATATTTTCGTCTAGAAAATCTCTTCTCCATGCCTATCTCTATATTGTATTATCTTTTCATATATATATATATATATATATATATATATATATATATATATATATATATATATATATATATATATATATATATATATTAGAGTTAAATGCATGAGAGGCCTTTGAACTTGTAATAGGGTGTCACTTAGGTCCATGAACTTGGAAAATGCATTTCTAAATACCTAAACTTGCTAAATGATACATAACAGGTTCATACTTGCCACGTGGATATTTTATCGGCGACGTGGTAACGCCCACGTATGGAAAACACATGCAGTGAACCCCTGAAATCTAAATGAAGCTAGACGTGCATGCATCGGTGTTGCAGCGCAGGCGGCGAGAAGCAGCGAGGGGCAAAGCGAGGAGGGAAAGGACCCGTGAGCTGGACGAGCGGCGCGTTCGGGGCGTGGGAGGCGAAAGGACCAGGCGAGCATCACGGACGATGTACCCGCACGGACGTTTCTGGGACTCGTGGCGGAGGCGGTCAAGGTAGAGCAGCAGCGGCGCAAGGTGAGCATCCGGATGCAAGTGGTGGCACGGCAGCGGGGGCAACCTGCCCAGCGTCCCGTTCAAGCGAAGCCGAAGCTCTTCGTGTGTCCGCTCAAAGCTACCATTCCAATGCCTCGCAATCATGAGTGCATTTATCCCACCTAGACGCTCGCCATGGCCACACGCGATTTTTTGAATCTCGTGGAATTAGCTGCATACATGACCGCCGCCTTTGGCTCGGTCTCCCAAGACCATGCGCCATCATCACCCTGTAAGTCGGCGCCATGTGGTCGCCGTCATGGACCTAGGAGCCGCCCGAGTCCCTCTCGTGCCTCAACCGAAGCTTGCCATGGCTCGGCTATTTAACGTAGACCTAACCACGCGCGCGCCGCGCTTAGCACCACCTTTGGCGCTTCGGGCTTTCAAAATCCGACTGTGGCCCACACACGCCGCCCATGAACTCACATTCCAATGCCCTCGCGACCGACGACAAGATGAGTGCATCATCCGGTTGTTAGCTAGCCCCTAGACAAGAGCTCGTTGCAAACCATCTTGACATGAAGTGACTAATTTTTGAATCTCGTGGAATTAGCGCTAATCCATACACTTGACCGTTAGCATGAGGTTTGGCAAGCTCCGGCTCTCTCCAAGGTGGGATGTACAACACTTGGCAAAGGCCGGTAGCACAGGCGTGTCGCTCGCGGTGCGCCGAATAGGTGGCGGCGTGTCTGGCGAGGACATCGATGCCGGGATATTCCATCTCATGTGGTCGTGATATTTTCGTGGCAATGCCACGTTGACCTCGATAAGTATGGACTGTGGTGTAGGAGCCCTTTAGGTATCTAGAAATGTATTTTCGTTTATAGTTCCCGTTATATGTTTAAGGGCCTCCCACCAACATCCTCTTTTGGGGCATTCCCAGCCGTTATGACCGGTAACAAACAAAACGCCCACCAATCGGAACCCACCGCTGCAACCGTGAAAATGACTTCCTCCGTGACCATAAAAATCCGAACAAAGTTTTTTTTGACCTGTTTACAGTGCGAAACCGTAAAAGACATGTTTCAGCAGTTTTTTTGAAAGGACGCAAAAGTTTCCTCTCTCCCTTAGGCGAAGAAGGGAAGGAGAACCTAGTCATCGACACCATACAACCGAGGAGAGACGCGACTGCGTGGCACCAACCCCGAAGCACGCCAACCAACTATGAACTCACGCCCCCTTGTGTCGGCGCCCACTCAAGAGACTAGAACAAACTTCCCGGGACCCACGACAACAGATGACGACGACTCCCAACGACGCTTTCAAGAAGGTAACGACGCCCAAGCGCCACGCCGCAAGGCCGGACTGGTTTTCACCCGGTCACGCCGCGCGACGTTGTTGAGAGCGTAGGCAAGTAGGCCGTGGTCGGCACCTCCTACAACGGGTCCTCGCCAGCACCAAAGACGCTAGTGACATCGAGTAGGGGGCCACGCTGCCAAAGCCGAGTCCGACCGACCACTTAAGAACGCCTCCGTCGCCGACTAATCCAGATCCCCAAACTTGGCTCGGCTTGGTCAAGACGGCGAGGAGGTCACGAGCAAGCGGCACGGCCGAGATCATGTGGGGAAGAACGGCATAGAAGGGCCGCTTCAACGCAAGCATGTACAACACAAAATGGCCAAGGAAGCCGAGAGGCAAGGTGGGCAGCATGTCGCTCGCTACCATGCATTGCGCCCGAATAGGTGGCGTCGTCGCAATCCTGGCGATGACCGCGAGATCGATGACCTGTTCGGGATATTCCATTTAGATTTCAGGGAGGTTCACGCGATATTTTCCCGGCGTGGCAATACCATGCCACGCACCAACCGGATGATGAAAATACCCGTGTGACAAGTATGGACATGTGGTATATCATTTAGCAAATTTAGGTATCTAGAAATGTATTTTCCAAGTTTATGGACCTAAATGACACACCGTTATATGTTTAAGGGCCTCTCATGCATTTAACTCTATATATTATTCTCTTGTATATATTTGCCATTCAACAGCCTGTTATTTAACACGCTCCTCACCGCTCAACAAACAAAACAACCCACTCGCAATCGGAACCCACCTGCAGCGGCAACCGTGAAAATGACTTCTTCCGTGACCATCAAAAATCCGAACAAAGGGTTTTTTGACCTGTTTACAGTGCGAAACCGTAAAAGACATGTTTCAGCAGTATAGTCTAGAATCTCCCTAATTTACCGTGACCATAATCTAGAACTTTTTTACCGTCTCGTCAACCTTCATCAGCAGGCTTTTGAAAGTCACCCTTTCCATGAATCCTTGTGCGCTTAGTTTCTGCTGGTTCGATTAACAAACGGAAAATGGGCGTTCTTCAAAAGACGGCCCATTCTAAGACACTGCGGGTCACTGTTCGAAGCTCAACACTATTGCACTAGCAAACCTGAGAAAAGTTACCTCGGTAAGATTTAAAGCCGGCCCGTTCGCTTGGCTGAAATTGGCTGAAAAACACCGTTCCGGCTAGATTGTTGTGAAAGAAAAATATTATTCTCGCTGAAAAAAAAGCTAAATAAGCCGAATTATAAGGTAAGCGGAACAGAGACCTGTGAACCCAAAACTTGCTAAAACGAATTAGAATGGCATACCATGTAATTAATTTAGGGGAGAAATAAACCAAACTAACTAACCCGAAAAACACCAATGGTCGGTTACCTACTTACACCATCATAAGATACACAATAACCATTTTGCCTCAAACACGAATCTGCAAACTTCAGTTCTGTAGAATCATTATTCAGGTGCTTCAACATTTTTGTCAAAGGTTTACGAAAATTTTGTACACTCTTTGGGGGCCTTGTCACAGAAAGAGGGAGCAGGGTTCAGTTAAATTTACAAGCTCGTTACTGGTCTATCACCAGCATTAACCACATGAATGTTCCGCAAAGGAAAGGGAAAAAGAAGGTAATTGTGAAGTGATCACAGATTTAACAAACAAAACTTTATGAGGTTCCTTATTTCTTCTGAAACTGACCAAGAATCATGGCCTAGGCGTGAATGACAAGGACCGCTAAACTTGTCCAGAAAAAAAGGTGATAAGATGAAGGGTCATGTACTCCTCATTTTGAGCGGAACTTGCCACTGACCGACTCATAAGTTGGCATGTTCAGAACTGCAGAATGCAGGCGATAGGTCAGAAACATTCTAGTGGAATTCTAGTTAATCTCGCACAATGTAAAGGTGACTAGCTGTCACTTACCGTTTCCATGAGATGCCATTGTCAATGGCGATGAAATGATCTTTTCAGCAACAGATGTTACATCTTTCAGAGTAACACCATCAATAGCCTTGAGAAGGTGCTCAGCAGGTTTCCTGCAGGGTTTTTATGAAGCCATGATTAGGTGGACCGGTGAGCATGACACAGAGATAACAAAATAGAAAAGCATCAGCAGTTGAATATATCTTTCATTGACATATACAAAATAATAACATCCATGAACATAATATCTACAATAGCAGCAGGAAACATTTGATATATGCCGTCTCTCTGAAGCAATATCATGACAGCATCCTGTTGTGACCTCGAAGGGAATAGAATCACAGCTAAAAGGTGAAATTATCACATTCAAAACACATTACCTTTCACCAAATGCCAAAACTTGGCGCCCAATGTCTTCTGTTAGTGATGCCTATGAGTTTCAATTATTCGAGTGAACCATCAGCAGTCACAGAAATGTATAACATTTTGTTTTAGAAAAAGAGAAAAATATTTGAAACATTCCTATATACCTGCGATTCCAGGTTCGCCAGTATCGCTGATTTAGCTGAGGCTTTAGCACGGTCTAGTTGGCTTTGGTCAACTGTAATGAGAATAAATGAAGTTCCAGGCAGGCAAGGAATCTAACTAACAGGAGCCCACAGCCAAGATAGGATAGTTGGGATACCTTGTCCAGGAGTTGCAAGGGAAGTGAGCTCTCTTGCTGCTAGGTCAATAGCTTTAGGAACAAATGATGCATCCTGATTATGAGATAACACTTCGTTATGATTTGTATTTGAAATATAAACTATGAACACTATGTTCATTTCTGTAACGATTGTTTTAACTCCTCCAATGAGTTTGCTATGTGATGCTGTAAGCATGGTTTGAGTTTTCACACAGAAAAGGTAACATATGTACTGTAACAAGTTTTAAGTGACCGTTTCCTCCCAAAACATACATATGATTACATGATATTTACTAAAATGACTACATTATGCATGACTTAGCAAGCTTGTGAATTTAATACTTACAGTAGATGTATGGATTCCAAAGATGCCAGTATTACTGTGAACGTCCTTGAAAGCAGAGATTGACTTGATCTGATCAAATTCATTTACTAGATGGTCTGCACAAGCCACAAAGCACACCTCAAATTCAGGGATTGGTATGATCCTGACTGCTTCGATTTGTGAGATTATTTTTGTATTTCATAGAGCTTCACATTATGGTAAAGATCTACACTAGATGAAATGAACATAAAAGAATAGTTATGGTGCAATCAGAACTAGAACAACTAAACCTTTAGTGCACTTGTAGATGACACAACTAGATGAATAATACTTCTCCAACAGTGTGAAAGTTGAACAACATATTTTACAGTTTGTGTTGCTTTGTCCTATAAGATCTTGATAAAGAATAACCAATTCAGGGTGAGCAGTATCAATCTAGTACAAACTGGGAGCAAATCCTATTTGAATTATTAACCAGTCAGATAGTTGAACAACTCCAAGTCTCCAAATGCACCCGCAGTTTCTCAAAAGAATACATAGTATCTGGCATGCTAAAGGGTAAAATATAAACATCTGTTCTACTTACTTAGACGCTGAATGCAGCCCCTTTCCTTGCCTTTCCCAAGAAAATTTGCCAGCACCGCCCAGAAGTGTCTGTAAAAGATGTAGAGCTCTTAGTTAATAAAACATTCAATTGGCATGCCTTGTTTAGTAAAATAGTGAATCTCTCAACAAACTGCCTAATGAACCTGAAGAACTGATACGGTCACAAAATCTTTTTCTTTGAGCCAACCACTTGGGACCTCGAATGCCAATGCAACATCTGTGTTCTATTTTGCAAGACAAAGGCGTAAAGTAAGGATAGAAATCTAGGTGACGAAAGCGGTTAGATAAGTGACTTGATGAATGGACTGAATCCTAATGCCTACCGATGAATCTGCACTTCTTCTGTATTCTCCACCAATGTAGGTAGATTTTGGCCTTGTTGTTCCAGATACACTGGGAATGTCAGACAGAAGGGGTTCAGCAATAGATACCAATTCATCATGATCAACACCTGAAGCAGCTAGAACAATTCGGGGAGCAGTGTAGTTCTCCTGATACCCATGCAACAAAAGGTACAAATAACATGTCAACAAGGATACCAGGACATAAAGAATACTAAAGAAATTCTGGAGATGAATCTCACAATTATAAATTGCCCCAGGACATCTGCATTCAATTTGCTAATTGCATATTCTGACGCAATTAGTGGGTTTGCTAAAGCACCAGAATAGCCAGTAGAATGAAGAGCCTCCAAAAGGAATTTTTCAGGATTACTTGATGATTTCGCAAGCTCTGCCTTTAGCCTCAAAATCTGAAAAGGAAACATGTCACTATGTCAGCAAAGAACATGATACATTAAACTAAAACAGACATGTGGAAGGGGATGACACCAAGATGAAATACCTGTTCCTTGACCTCCCAATCAAGAAAAGCAGGGTTGCGTACACAATCAATAAGCACCTCAACCATTTCAGGCATGTAAGTCTTCAGGGCCCCGTAAGTGTAGCTCATCATCTCACGGCTAGCAGATGCTTTGGCACTGCCACCTATTGCCTCAATTTCACGTACAACCCGCAATTCGCTCCTGTTGGCAGTGGTTGCGAAGGCCATTGTCTTCAACAGTTGACTGGCACCTGTTGTTTCAGGTGCTTCATATACAGAACCACAATCAACATAAACTCCAACAGAGCAAGATGATCCCTGAATAGGAAATAGAGAACACCCTATTATTATCAGCTGCTGATGAGGGCATGGATGGAATGAGTAACCATATAAACACAAAGACGACATACTGCAGATGTCTCAGAGGCTATTTTAACACCATTGGGAAGTGTTGTGACTCTTGTCATGCCAGCCTCCACATGATCAGGTAGCGGAGGAGGAATAGTCACGCCCGGAAGTGTGAAATCTGGAGGAGGTATTTCATTTGAGCGCCGCGACCAGTCAACCAGGTCCAGAAGCCACCAGGCGACCCTGTGCAACACTTGTGCTGGCACACCTGATTGCAACATTCATCATTTGAGCATCTGCCCCATGCCTCTGAAATAAAAGGAAAGCACCTATATTACAGTTCAGTGGTCAAAGCCGTAAAGCTTCATTCGAACACCGAGAGAAAATCGTGCTAACTCTTTGTTTATTATTACAGTAAATGTATGCTTGCAGAGCAATATCTTGTGTAAGGAATCAGAATGACGGAGTTTTATACATCCTCACATAAAAAAGGGCTGTCTACATAAAAAATCGTGGCGCTATCTTCTGTCTATAAACAGACATGAAAACTAGTATCATAAGTGGTAATGAATGATTGAATGAAATGAAACATTCTTCAACATCACACCGCTTTATTAACTAACTAACACAAAACATCACAAGGGTTTCAAACACATGCACTGAACAAAATAACTACAACATAAGCATGTGATCGCGAGAAGTAAACACTGGTTGTTTGAGGAGATCAAGCCCATTTTTCAGTCAAGACTTGTGAGAGGTAACTAGGGATTTCAAAATCATATATTTCAGTTGATCCATCATAACCAAATAAGAAAGGGTCAGTGTCCAACAGAAACCAAGTATTAAAATGGAACCAATTCTAGCATGGATTAAAAGTTTACTGTCTAATACACTGTCAGGATGGTTCAGGGATCAAGCAACTAACACGACCCCTTGAGAACAAATGATCAGCGCGGACTTAGCAGAACTCACTCTACGAAAGTTTTCATGCCTTCACAAACATTCGCAGAAGCACGGATTCCACTTGCCCCCCACAGCCCACATTCACATAACAATTCTACAAACAAGCTAGAGGCCACTGAACATCGCATCTCAAACAACCACGTCCTCAATTCAACAGACCACGCTACGCATCAAGCCCGCGTGAGTCCGGACGATGGGAAGGTTCCGACAAGAAGGATCCGCCGCCTCGCGACGCGACCACAAGCGACGCCGCTGCGGATCGGCGGATCGCGCCCAGATCTACCGGAAATGGAAGGAGCCAAGGAGGTCAAGGCAAGGGTAGGGTTCCAGGCGTGGGCGGCTCACCTTGAGGGCGCCGAGGCCGGAGGCGACTCGGTACATGGTCGCAGGTTCCTGTGGCCGAGTGGCTCGATGGAATCGTCGCCGGTGGCGTGGAGGAGCGGGGGATGGAGCAACCAGGAACTCAGGAAGGAGATGGCGACAGGCCGTGAGACAAGTGGACGGCAACGAATCGAGCTCTCACACACTCGAGAGGTGTGTGTGCATATCGAGCGAGAGAGGCCGTGCATGTGCGGCCGGCCCATTCATTTTGGGCCTACAAACGTGGCCAATATAGGCCCAAATTTGTTAGTTTCTGTTGGGCCTGCCGGCCATCATATCACGCGTGAACTGCCGCGCCGTGCCCGTGGCCCGTGCACGCCGAGATGGGGCGAGGCGATCACCGGCGCCGCTTGCTGGCTCCACCGTCTTCGGTGCCGGTGGCGAGGCGAGGGCTGGGCCACAGCATGCGGGAGGACGGTCGCGGTTCGCTTGGCGCGGCGACTGATGCCGATCGCTGCCAGGAGCACAGTGAGACGCGCAATCGCTTCGCAGCCCCGTGCTGGCGCCGAGCAGGTGAGTTGTTTGGTAGATTGCCGATTAGGGATTTCGTAGCCTGCTTTGCGCATCCGCTCTCAGCATATCGACTTTCTGGCAGAAAGTTTGTGCAACTTGTGAAGTATCTCGTTAATTTCGTTGCATTTCCTTATGTGTTTGGCGCGGGTGTTCTATCACCGGAGTAGATTGCTCTCAATTCCGTCACAGAAAAGTGGAGAAATTCCTTCTGCGAGTGCCAAACTGCCAATAGGTGAAGGTGAAAATACGCTAGGCATGCGCATAGCTTCGATCACCTGCTCGATGAAATGCCGGTGTCAGTTCATAAATAGCAGTTGCAGCGTTGCAGCTGGCTTGCATTTTTTTCCCGGGCCCCCTGAAGATTTGCTCGTACAAGGCTGTCAGATGGTCCATTGTGCTTTTGTTGGGCTGTTTCTGTATGCGTTGGACATAAGCATGATGATATATGGGCCAAGTGCCCAAGTTGCCATGGGCAAATCGAGATTTGGGCAAAGAGTTTGGTGCATGAATAGGGTTGGTATATGCAGGTGATTGGTCGTTGTGAGCGTAGGTACAGGGTCGTTGGTTGTTTGAATCGTACTTTGTGAGCAGTTAGTGGCTGTTGATCGGATCACGATATCGTATCTGGTAGAAGGCACAGATCAAGCATGCAAACTGTACGAGGCCTAATGCGTGATAGCCTTCTGTAGCTGAAGGCGGTATGGTTTTACTGAACCTACAATTCAGTGTTTGTCGTTGCATAAGCGGTAGCTGGTAGCGAGAGGTTGCTAGTTAGCTAGTCTATTGGTGTTAGTTTCATAGAGTCAATGTAAATCACCTTTGCCAATGGTGGTTACTCCAAAGTCCAGGCACACCTTTTATCACTTACAGTACATCGTAAGTGTGACAAAATGGCCCCCAATTCTGCCACTTGCTGATGATGAGCATGTGGAGCAATTCGTTTCACTCTGAGCTTCCTTTTTTTTTTTTGTGTGTGTGTGTGTGGGTTGGTTGAGCAATTTCACTCTGAGCTTTCATGAATTGCTCACTCTTTTGCTAACAGTATCGGAATCCAAGGGTCAGTGATCTTCATTTAGCTGTTATGTTAATTAGCTCCTTGAGCAAACCTTTTCTACACCCCTGTTTTGTCTGAACCTTAACATATACTGTATCTTGAAGAAACCCAGCTGAGCACACCCAGTTGTATAGGAAAAAGAAGCTGATGACACATCCAATGGCTTGATCAAACCATTCATATCCCCAATTTTTAGAACACAGATTCACAGTATTCTCAAGTAGCTGATGCATAGGCCTGGAAGCAGCAGAGCCAGTGAGATGTAATCGTTTATGACAGGCAAAATGGGGTAAACTATCTCTGTTTCTTCAATTCAATCGCTTACGCCTCTCACTACATTTCCTCATGCATGTATGTAATGTTGCTTCTTCCCATAAAGCCGCAGCTGTTTCAGTTTGATCATCTAATGATTGTTGCTACCCTTTTTGTCCAGTGGGTATACATATACACTTAAAATAACCATCAAGGGAAGGAAGAAGCATGTGCTTGTTGAAGCTCGTGCCTGATGATGTTGAAAAGTCCTCATGGCGCATGGGAGGGGGACCTGTGCTGTCTGCCCCAAGTGCCGAGCACGACCAGAGCAGGTGCAGTGCAGACAGCAGCACGCATGGTACTTATCATATATACGACCTCGGCGTCCCGTCCCGCCTGCCTCTAATCTACTCCTACTCTATCCGCTGTCGTCTTCGCGTGGCATGCAGGCTAGCCGGTGATCAACTGTAAAAACCGCGACGCGCCAACACTCTGTTCCTGCAGCTGATGGCTGTTCCCATCTTCCTATCGCCCTGGTTAGGATAGGTAGGTGCATATCTGTTGTCACGGAATGTGTCGAGAGGTCGATAACCCGACCTGTTTGACTGATCTTGCTCTATGTGTGCACAGGTTGTGTGCCGCGCAGAGAAAGCTGTGATCAATGGACCGTTGAACAACGTGTCTGCTCTGCTACATGTATTATATCGATTCAGGTGGACGGTCGGGTTTCAGAGAGATGGCTGCTCAGGTCTTACGTGGGAGTGCAGCTGCTGCATCCATCGATCCACAGGTACCACTACTTCACTCTTCACTCACGCTAAGAGCCTAGATCAGTCAAATGCATGAGTATATTCTGCTAACTAAGTAAGGATAGTCTCAATGAAAGAAACTAGTAGTTTCTATAACATAGGATATCACACCAAGAAAGTATTGCTTTCCAACTCATGGTTTCTATGAGTAATAATTATTTTCTCTTTCTCTCTTCCAACTCTGTCTTCTTCCTCCAATGGGAGTGTGACACGAGCTCCCTAGAAACTGGTGGTTTCTCCCCAATGGCGATTTCATAGTTTCTTGGTGCATTGGGTCAAGAGTAGACCTGATTTCTTCACGAAGAAACCATTTCTATGATTTTGCTCTCTTTCTTCATTAATTACGTTGCCATATCAACGTTTTACCTACGTGGCAAGTCATTTAATGAGGATAGAAATTATCATCAATACATCATTGGGACTGCCCTAATACTCCTGCATTACTATTTATTAGCCTTTCTGGGGTGTTGCTTTCAGCAAAGCCAGAAAAAAGAAAGTATTTGCAGTGCACTCATGGCATCAGGATACGTATTTGCTGCGACTTGAGCATCGGCGATCAGCGTTTGCGCGCCCACCAAGCAAATGGGATGGCAATTATTGCTTGGGTGGCGACGGATCCGTCGGTTGGCCAGAACCGCGACTCCTAGTGTATGTACGCACAGTCGTACACCGGTACACAGAAGTCTCCTCTCGCTCCCAAAACAACTCTCGATCGACCCGCTGATGCTGGCGTTCCCAAGCCTGCTGCCATGCTTAGTCAAACGTGATTGGGTTGATTAGTCCTAACATTTATGAGCCCGGGCCGAAGCCGAACGAACGAGGTGTCACTGCTATACCACTGTGTGTCTTGACGGACGACAATGAGAAAGGGGCCGAGGGACATCAAGTTAACACAAGCCAGATGACGACGACGACGACGCACGGAACGATCGCCGCCGGCCGCATGCGCGGCTGCTCCGTCTGATGGCCGCACGCGCGCGTCGTCCCGCGAGACGTCGTGTCGCCGTTGGGAGGGGTTGTCAGGTCATAATGGCCCGATTTGCCCATGAGAGGCACAATGCAACACACGGGGAGGTGGACTGGTCGAAGAGATCGCTTGGATTACCCTACCTACCTTGGCTTTCTACTCTTGTTTTTCTTTTATTATATATAACAAGAAGAAAAATCCCTTCCTCGCTCTTTTCATGGGATTGGATGGAGTGAGGCGGAAGGGAAGAGAAGGGACAGCAGCAGCCAGCAGCAGACCAGGGCCGGGACCTGCTGCTGGTGTCCGTCCAGGTGTTGTTGTTGAACAACCCAAGCAGCTGGC